GGGGTTGCATGGACATGACCCAAGCCAGGGCCCATCTCCCTGGGGCAGGAGGCTTATGCTAACTCCTTAGATCCTGCAGAGAATCCTAACGTGCTTGTCAGAGCCTTAAACAGCATCAATCAGCCAAACTCGACGGACTTCAATGGCAGTGTTCAGCTGATGGATGCTTGCTGTGGACTTGGCCCCAACAGGTGAATTCTGAGTTCAGTTCAAGCCTTCAAAAAGAAGGGAGAATTTACATGTTGCTTCTCTTTTGTTTTTGGTGTATGTTCCACAGTTTTTGCCCAGCTTTTGCAGAAAGAAAACAGAGCACCGATGAGTTGGTGTCTCAACCAGAAGCTATAACAGGCCTGGCCACAGGCCAGGGCAGACACACCTGTATCTGCAATGCTACAAGCCGGACAACAGCTGTGCTGAAGGGCAGAGGTGGCGAGAGATAAGGGCTGAGATGAAGAAGGGGTAATCCGTCAGCCACACTGGAGGGTCCTACCACTCCCATCACCTGCAATACAAACAGAGCACATCACCACAACTGGCTACTTACAGTTTCATCCATGCCATATCCTCCAACGTCAGTGAAATGGAGGCGTCTTCCATCGAGCACTGAGTTGGGGTGGATCTAGGAGAACCAGCCCCCCCAGTGGTCCTTGTGGGAGCTGGGGCCAGTGAGGAGAAGGAGTTCTATCAGGGAAAGGGAGGGGAGAAGAGGGAACCAGCAAGGATGGGAGGAGTGCACAGGTAACCTGGTACATTTATAAATGTACCCAGTACCAGCCCTGAATGACCAGCACTGGACCGGTGGAACAGTTAGAGTTGGAGGATATGTCATGTAACGACTGTAACAAATGAAAATATGTCATCAAAGCAAAAAGTCTGCATTGAAACTGGACATCTTTTCCCTTCTCTTGCTGATCTACTTGAAAAGTAATGTCCTAAGTCTGACCCAAGCCGGGTTTTGTACAATGTTCAGATTCCTCTCAAACACAGTCTGCTCTTAGGAATTCGAAGTATCATTCATCTCGCCCGACCCCAGATGTCTGAAGCAGAGTCACCTGCATGTGACCTGGTTGTCTGGAACTCCTTGAAATACCAGCACAAGAAAATAGCACTTCTACGGGAGAGTTATTTGAGCTGTTTTGGATGTGTTCCTCAGGAGGAGTTAAATCACAGGCCTGCATATGCCTGTTTCTCTCCGTGACTAGACACCTCTAGATGACAGGAAGAGGGAGAAGCTACCTGGCAGGCGGCGCCTAAGCTTAGGTGAAGATGAATGCACGATTTTTTTCCAAATTCAGCCTGGGAAAAAAGGGCACTAACCAGTTTTCTGCCAGAAAACCAAAGGACAATTTAGAAGGGGAAGAGACAGAACCCTTTCTTTATATCACTATGGATTATCATTTAGACATTTCCCCGCCTTCCTAGCTGATCTCTTTTCGGGCTTCATGATGCAACTGGTCTACACATGATACAGCATGCGGTCAGGGGTGCTCCCACAGCTCACAGTGGCCGTAGTTCTGAGAGTTAAAAGTAAAATACTCTTAACAGGAAGAGTACGTATTTTCCTGGTAGCTCTCCCTGATGTTCCCAGCCAGCTGAATGTAAGCGTGATGACTGCACTTCAGCACTGCGCAGCTTTCCGCTATTTTTAGAGCGCTGGCTAATTCTTAATGCAGGTCCTTTGCAGAGCTTGCTGGCAGGATTCACTCTGCCATGCCTGCCTGCCAAACTGCAAGTCCATTCTAAACTTGTATTTGAGCTCACTCTGTAGCAACCTCCCCGTCTAGCAACCCTAAGTAGTCTGAGGGCCCAGATTTGCAGTACCTCCAGGTAGCTACCTCTGCTTGAACAAGGAGGAAGTCTTACGGGCTCTGAGAGGTCGGAGCTTCCCTGCCCTTGCAGCGATGAGTGCTGAGTGCACTTGAAGGACAGGAACCTGGCAAAAACTGATACTGCATTTTAGCTGATGATCATTGTTTTTAAAGCCCCTCAGAGCACTGGTAAAACCTGAGAGGTTTTTTGTAACTGCTAGAAAAGGTTACAACATTTACGTTCTAGGGAGAAAATGTTATAAAACTCAATAACAATAAAAATGCTAGTGCAGCCTTTCCCCCTTTATTTGTATTTTTTCCACATGGAATGAAAGCATGTGTGTTTGTCCAAATGGCTGGAGTTACACTGATACCAAATTGAGGGTTTGTCCCCAGTGTAACAGCTGCAGAAACACTACAGTATCGCTGAATGACCAGACAGACTCCATCTGTATCACACACTTAGGAGCATAAATTCTACTAAGAGTGGGATCTGAACATTGTACAGTGCAAACCTGTACTAGATCAAGCCAGGGACATTGCAAACAGTGGAGTGAATCCACCCACGTAAGCCCTTCTAACTAGCCAACACCTGATGGCCTCTGCCGGAGCCGTCAGGGTCCTTCCCCACTGGAGACGGTAGGTATCCCCAGTGCCACCCGCTCCCCGTCTCTACCAGGTGTGTGCAGTCTCCACCACCCCACTCTCCAACTTGCAGCCCTCAACTCTCAGCTCAATCTGGCAAAGGTGGATCTTCAAAGTGGTGCGTGGGAAGCAACGGAAATAAATCGCTTGACCACCGCTACCGGTCACTGTATCTCCCCATGCACCACTTCAAAAATGAACCTTGCTATCTCTAGTGTCACTTGCGAAGCCCCCTTGCGAGGGGTAAGGGGGACGGGTACAATGACAGGAATGGGAATGAACTGTCATCTTCAGACCAGAGAAGTCAACAGCAGGGGGGAGGTTTAGCAAAGGTTCACGGGGTTGCCGCTCGGCTACTCACCAGATTGACACACACATTGATCAGAGACCTAAGGTGAGGCAGGAAGGATATGATTGGCTGCCTCTGAAGTGTCAAACAAACCCCTTCAATCAAATTGCTGGCAGGCTCCCACTCAACCTGGCGCCTGCAATACAACAGTAGGTGCCGTTAGCCGCGGGCCTCCTGCCCCCCACCAGACGCTCGCACACATGGCGACCGACACACAGTGACGCCCACAGAGGAAACGTTTCAGACAGCAACGACGTCCAAGATGAGCACAAAGTGCGCAACAGAGAAAAGTTTTTACCCACGCAGCTCAGGAAAGCGCAGAGCCACAGAGCACACTGGGGGATTGAGAGAGACAAGAAACATAGCAGAGGGGTCTGCGCTAGCGACACAACCACCCCCCCAACAGCAGTGGCGGATGAGCTGTGTTTTGCTCCCTGACAGAAGGTGAATGAAAGGGAGCCATCAGACGGCTGTCTCAGGTGTGCCCGTCTGGGGAAAGGGCCTGCTGTGCCATGCTCCCACCTGAGAGCGACTCCTCCTCTTGGGGCTTGCGGATGGTCTCACTGAAGGGAACAAACCCCATCAGCTGTGAGTGCCCTCTGTAGCTGCTCGGCAGTCTGCTCTGCTCTGCTCTGCCAGAAGGACTCCCAGACACAGCCTGCCCTAAACATAAACTGGCCCCGCAGTACAGTCTTTACATTCCTCGCCCTGTGCGGGAGGGCTGATTCACTCCCTATCAGCATCAAGTCCTTCATTCCAGGATCCTTTCTTCCATGACACTTTGCTTTTTTTACCAAAACAGCTTTTAGGGCTTGTGACAGATGCTGAATGGAGTACTTCCTAATCATAAGCAGACACAGCATAGGTAACATCAAAGTGGTTCACACCCTTTGTCTCGGGGCCTGACTCTTTGCAGTAAGTATAGGTCTCAAGCCAACATCTGACTGTGCGCTTATTGGGACAGAAAGACAAGACTTGCATAACTTTTAGGTCAAGACTAAACAATATCCTGGTCAAGCTCCTCAGTGGCTTTAGAGACACATAGGGGATCAAGTGTTCACTACATACGTTCTTACACAGACCAACATACATCTCATCTTTCAGCATCCACTGTTCCTAAATCTCCAGAATAGGACTTCGCTCTTGTACTTGTTCTCACACATATACTACTCCCATCAGACACTGGTTTTGGAGTGGGGTGCCCAGACGACGCAGTGTATAAGACTCTGATGTGAGCACCCCAATGGATGGCTCCCAGGGTCTGGCACCTAGCCCTATCTCTAAGAGACTTCTTGGCCCAATGATGCTTAAATGTAGTTGCTGCATTTGGTCCAGTGGCTTTGCCGTCTCTGTCCCTTTGTGTACGGAAGAGCAATTTTAGCCAGGCATAGGTACGGGCACAGACAGAGAGAATATGAAGGGAATTTTAATTTGTGAGCATTCATTCAGCTTGCAGAAAGAGGAAACATCTACAGGAACAGGAAGACCCCTAAGCTGCCTTTGAGGCAGAAGAAAGTATGAGCGAGAAAAGAAAGAATGAGCGAGAAGCAGGCAAGACATGGCAAAGAATCAAACCAACAGGAAGGAGAAGCATCAAAATTTCTGCCTCTAAATTCTCTACAAGGGCAGGAGTTTCTTAAAGCAGATAGTTAGCCAAAGGAAAGTGATAGACAGTGATGCCAGAAAGAAGAGATCACCTCCCTATTATTTGCTCCATCTTAGTTGGGTACATATGATTCCCACTGGGACCTAAATTTTGTGTTTGAGTCCTAAATTCTGATGTTCTCTAACATCATTTGGCTCCTCAGCTGAGACTGCTAACAAAGTGACTGATTCAAGCAGTTGAGGACATATGCCCATGAGGGTGACTGAGACCAATGACTCTTTTTACTCAGATCACCAGAAAAGCCACAGGGCTGAGAGATTTTATACTACCCAGATAGGATTTGTATCACTGCCTCCGAGGTAGGAATGGTCCATATGGAATACTTCTTGAAGTTGCCAAAGCCTGTACCATAATGCTGCTATGTAATGCACCAGGCGTTCACTGGCCACTGATTAGATGCAATTGATGCAGTTCTGTTCCCTTTACAAAGGAGAATTCAGAAGCTACTGCACAGCTCCAGACTATTTTTATCTTTACAGAGAACATAACAGTATTTTCCTGAGAAGGCATGCTAGAAATACTCTTACTACAGTTTAACTTTCCATTAAAAAATAAAATTAATCTCCTCAACTCACAGCTAAAATAAATAAAGAGGATAGTGACACAGTACAAATCTGAAGACTTATTTTGGAGAAAGAAAAATGAGATTTCTCGAAGTTCTCTTTGTAGTTCTTAATAACCACGCATTTCTTCTCTTGCTACCAGAAGACACAACAAAAATGTCAACATAAATGCACACTTACAGAGATAAAAACATCTGTTCATTTTCTGATATGTTGTAAACATTCACTGCAACATGACAGTTTTAGTTAGATGACATACCCACACTTCAAGGCTTGCAACATCAGAAACGGACCCCAGAGGGTTTCCGTTATACTTGCTCACCTCAAAGTAGGCATCTTGTGAATTTTATTGAACATACGATCCAATCTCTTTAAGATGAGGATAAGGGCAGGTCTCACCGCCTCAGCTGTCCAGTCAGTGATGGGCAGCATCTCCATGACATAGCGCCGGAGACCTCGGCTTTCCATCGTCTGCGTGTCATAAGGTGCCAGTTTCAGCAGGGAATGTGCGATTTCTGCCAATCTAAAACGAGGGTTTATTAAGAGGAAAATCAAACACAGCTTGCATTCCTCCACACATGCCAATGAACTATCAGATAAATCTTCAGTAGCCTAGTAAAAAGATGCAGAAGTCAAATGTGCTGCTATTTAAATGCATAGACCTGATACCATGGTTCCTGTCTGCTAAGATTCTTTTGCTGGAATCACTGTTTATCTTTATGTACGTGTGAGTGGTCTAAAGAATATTTTTGCATTGATACTAAATGCACCAAAGGAAAATCAGGAATCACAAATTTGTGTAGCTAAGAACAAAGTAACTGAGCTGTTAGTAAGACTACAACATTGCAAATGCCTGTGAAACACAGACTGACATCACCTGTATGTCAATTAATGAGTGATTTGGTTTGGGTTTTTGCTAGTTTTTCAGTGTCACCACTTCAAGAGGTCTCACTCTGCAATTTTCAGGTGTTAAATTTTAAAAATAATGTGCCATCCCATAGGTTTACACAACATGTACTTTGTAAGATTACTCCCTGCAGCTTTGATTTGTTTCTCCTAACACTTCCACAGATTGTGTTGCTGTTGCTTCTTCTAACCCTCCCACATGGCCTTGCCGATGGCATTTTCTGTATTGACTGTGAAATACCATGGCAACATTTAACTCACACTTGCAGTTTGACAAAGATCTGCTGAAATACTTGAATAGTTGCAGTAGACAAAGACAAGTAATAAAGCTACATCTACTAATAAAAGGGATAGAAACCTGTATACTCCCTGAAACATCAATAGACTTTGTAGTGGACAATTACAGTACAATCCTATTTGTATTGCAGGGGCTTCTTCTGACGTGCCTTCAACTAATGGAACATATTTCTATTCTCTTTAAAATCTGCCTAGCAATATCAAAGGCAATGAGTTCCTCAGATTAACCAGAAGTGCTATAAAAGTGTTTCTTTATCCAGTATTTCTTTGTTATTACTTTTTACAACTACTTTGTCCTACTATGGGGTAGGTCTGTTTTCTTAAAACACTGTGAAATTTAAATTACCATATAATTATGCTTCTTTCTGGCAATACAATATCAGTGGCACATAATGGTATATGAAAACTTGCTTAGCATTATAAAGTACAAGACCCCTCTCACCCAATGTGAGACGTCAATCTCAGTTAATCTTCTAGCTCCATTCATGCAGAAATAAGCAACCTGGGACATTCTTATCTTCCTGAAATACTGGGATAAACAGCTTATTGGATGTGCATCTCCCTTTTCATTGGGTCCAAAAAGATCTTTATGACTTTTGCAGACTAAACATTTAACTTTTAAATGGTTAAAATTGGGTGAGATGAATCCTGTCTGAGGTGACTAGCATATTATCTTGTCTTCTGAAGCCTCTGAAATGGCATCTGTCAGCCTCCCAAGACCACGGCTGTCACATCACATTCTGCTAAATCTGCCCTCTACTTAGAGCTGAGTTTTTTTCCTACAACGGTTAAATTCTTTCAGGCATTTCACTGATACTTATGAAATGAATTTATGTAAGAATCAAGATGACATTTGCTTTTATTTAGGGCTAACTATGATAAAGCAATTCAGGTTCCAACCCCATTTAAACTGTTATTTCTAGCACTTTCCAGGAGATGTAAGAGAATGTCAACAACTCATTATCTTCTGCAGATCAATCCCTTAGTTTTACTGCTGTAACCTTTGACCATGAAAGACTTCTCTTGAAAAGAATGCAGTATTTGCCAGCTACTACTGTGCAGTGTGACTGTGCTTCATGGAAATCTTCTCACAAGAAAGTGTCTTTCCAGAAAATGTACTGATAAGATCTTCTGTATGTATGGATTCAAGTTTGTTAAACTCATCTTTTAAGAGAGGGACATGAAATAGTTTAAGAACAATTAAATTCAATTATTCTGTAATATAAAACCATGTAGAAATTAAGTCCCCACATTGCTGTTAAACTGCAAATAATCTTGGGTAGTACACTAGAGCATTGTTATGTTAGATACAAGGGTAAGAATAGGGTAGTAAAAATAAGAAAGCCTCCTTACTTTACTGCACTATAAAGTTCATTCATCAGACACATGTTCCTCACTCCCACTGAAATAACACCCCCTCCCCAACATGTCTAACCAAGGACATACTCTGTCCTGAGAATCTCACCTATGTTTCTAACATAGGATTAAAGTTCTTATCTCAGGCTTCTATTGCTAAAAATCATGGAGTTTGTAATGCGGCTAAACAGATGTATTGATTTCGGAGGCTTGTGTCCCTTGGGAAAAATGTAAAGCTATCACTGCAAAAGCAGCTATGTGCACCAGGTTTTCAGTTTGGTTGCAGCCAAGCACTACATAAGAATGACATGCATCTGTGGAAACAGAGACATCTCTTGTTTAAAATTACCCTCTAAATTATTAAACATTTGCCAGAGGAGGGGGAACAGCAACATTCAGGTCATATGCAAACACACAAACCAAACAAAAATCACCTCCCAACTCCCAAAGGAATTTGGGGCATTTGTTAAACAAGACCTAAATTAATGTAAACCACAATTTTGTGTTCTGTAGAGACAGCCTGAATCCGAAGATCTCTAATTGTGACATAATCTGCCAGCTAAGGGGCTTTGCCATTTTTTCCAGAGTATGCATGTAAAAGGCAGAAGAGCTTTTAGAGGGTTTTCCTTGGTCCAGGGCAGGAACAGAGCTGGTTCAGTGCATCACCCTTCATTTTCCTTTACAGGTTATTCCTGAGGAAAAAAGTATAGCACTTGGAAAGGAATAATTCACAGCCAGAATGGCCTCTTGGGGTTCAGGGAGCATCATAAATTAGTGCTAAGGTGGTTCTGATTCACTTTTGAGGCCAGTCCCAAACAGCTTAAGATGTCTTTGCTATCTTTCCTATTTACTTTAATACTTTACCGAGCACTGTTTGGCTTAGGCCATTAAAAAATGCCTCTTGGTATTTAGCTATTCTGTATTCAAAGAATGATGTTGAGGTATTTCTCTGTCTTATAAAAGAATTCAGATAGCTGTCTCCCTGTGACCCCCCTGCCAAAGGATACACTAGGACCACCTCATATTAATCCCTGTTTTCCTTCCGACGAGTGTCAGTCAGAACAGTGCTAACCGTGGCTCACTTGGAGAGGATCTGTGCTGTTTTCATTGAGACACATCTTACCACGAAACAACTCTATGTTTCCTGAGGGAATACTATGCAAGAAAGGAGTTACCCCTGAAAACGAATGAAAAACTGACAACAGAATCAGGTCCATTCCCTCTTGTCCCAGTTTTTGTTGTCTTTTACATCTGGACAAACTTCTCAGTAGCAACTTATGCTATTTTGTGTTTACCGTGAAGAGCAAACACAGAGAAGAGAATCAGGTCCAAAGTGCTTAGAAAGCCCTACCCCCAACTTCTTCTAGGTCAGCACCACGTGAAACAGTTTGCAGTGAGCATCCAACCAGCAAGCTGGGCTCACTGCTGCACCTTAATAAAAGAGTTGTATCACACGCTGAGGTGGTGGTCCTGTAAATGCCTTCTGCCCCATCCTCCCCTGTATTTCAGGCATTTATGCAATACAGTGCAGGGGTCGCTCTGCCTTTCTTGCCTGTTAGCAGCTGGTTCTGATGTACCATGTCACAGGAGAGGATAAAGGTCATATTCAGCCAGCTAGGCAGCTTCCCCTCCCCTTGCCCTGCAGAGGCAGCCTTATCTGCTCTGCTCCTCGCTGCAACTTATTCCGATGTATCAGATGGGCTTCCACGGAGCTATTTTATCCACTGGAGATGGGGGTCTGAATGACAGCAGAGGAGAGCATGTTAAACCTTCCTTATACCCAAGCAAGCGTCAGGTACAATCTAAGCAACATCCAAACCAAGCTCCGCACGTTTCAGATAGCAACATGCAACTACACTACCAAAAAGTCATTCTGTCTGCTATTAAGAGCTAAAAGAAAGGAATCCCCCTGAAAGTAAAATGCCTGTGGAATACCTCATGTGGGACTTCACATCCAGCAGCTCCAGAGAAGTCACTCGGGGCTCACCAGCCAGATTCTGCAAAATCTTCAGCCTTGGACCACAGTGCTTGTAAAACTCTGTGCAGATATTCAGCAATGACTCCCGCGGTCTCCTGAACTCCTCCCTGGCAATTCGTTCATCCAGCTCCTCTCGGGGAAGACCCTGGCCCTCCTCCAGTAAATGAAGGTTCTCCCTGGAGGACATAAAATGAGAAAAAGTAGTAAGTGGTGTATACGGTGGAACAGCAGTGACAGATGATAACAACCTCTCCAACTTGTTTTTGCAACAGATGTTTGCCACTGCAATTGAAAAGAAAGATAGTTGCATCTGCAATGAAAAAAAAAGGAGGGGGGGAATTATAATCTGCAAAATCTTGTTAAAAATGTAAATACTATCTACATGAACTATCCTTTGCTACCCTCCCTTGAAAAAAGGCTGCCTGTCACAGCAACAGCAGGTGGGACCCAGCAAATCTGGATACTGCTGTGGAACAGCTCATCACGTGTCAGGGAAGACTGGGCGAAGATTTTACTGTACCTGATAAAGTGTAATTTCGCTCCCTGTTCTGGGTACCTGGAAAAACAGAAACAGTGCAGTTGTAAACAGCAACTTAGTAGTGCCTAAACTGTGCCTTTCTGAAAGAGGGTGACACTGTTCTAGCCCAGAGGTGTACTTGCCATGGGCAGGATGGTATCTTGTGTCACTGGAACAATGGCTACACATAGTTAGTGACCACATTGAATAGCCTTTACCTCCCACCTGGCAGCAAACAGCAGATTCCTCCTACAGTTATTGCCCTTGTTATGAAAGGAAAAAATCAGGCTTAAAAACCATAGCCCTCTTTCAAGCAATTTCTCTTACTGAGTCTCACCCCAGTGCTCAGTCTATTTCATGAAGCCAGAGCTCATGTAGTGGAAAGAATACCTCAGGGTATTTTTTTCTTTTATTGTCATTTTCTCTTGCCACTTCTTGTTAAGAAAGCATTAACAAACGCTGCACCACTTGGCTAACACATCTAAGGCTGGAACAGTGATCATTCTACCATCATGAGACTCCTGCTGTTGGTAGCAGATGTCTGCTGCAATGATAACACAACAGAAGAAACAAGGGCAGGAAACCTGGAGCAGTGCAAAAATATTTTGGATCAGAGACTGAACGTTTGATAATCAGAAAGATCTAGAAATGTAAACCAAGATATCTGAGTCACACAGCATCAGGAGTCTCTGCATTGCCTGTCAGCAGATACACATTAACTGCTCTCCAAAATCAGCAGACAAACAATAAAGCACTACTTTCCATTACACCTTATTTTCCTTAGACGAGGCAATCTTGTAATGGAAGTAAATAGCACATATCCACTTCAGACTTGAGCATGAATGGGTTTATCTGCTTCTCAGATCCAGGACTGAAAGTCAAAGCTGTGTTGCATCCATGCCTGAATTGGTCTTAAAGAATAACAGACTGATTCCAGGAGTTACCAATGAAGACGTGTACACTACACATCTATAAATTGACATAATAGCCCTTTGATGCCCCATGCAGAGAATGATTTCTATTACCCTTCAATACAAAAAAAAGACAGGGAATAACTTGGAAAGCATGCCTTGCCAGAAGGGTGTTTCTGATTTACAGTCCTATACAGCCCATGGTATTGTACTAGGCCACTGGCTGTGCGCAGACTTACCATCAGCTGTTACAGACAAAAGAGAAATCCCGAGGAAATACTCTGCTCTGGAAGAACAGCTACTCCAGTTTTTGCTAGGGGAGAATTCCCTTTCCAGGTAAGCACAATAAGGCATAGCCTGGCTGGGAGAAGGCAGGGCTGCCCAGAAGAATAATCTGTACTGCACTGAAAAACTTCATAATCCCAAATGCTTGTGGGTGGATTTTGTAACAAGATTTCTTAAGCCTTTGCTCTATGACTGAGTAAATTGTCCAGTGGCCTCATCTAATTTGCAGCAGCCTAATTCAACTGGCTACTATGGCCAAGGAGCAGTATTACAGTCTGCTGGTGTCATCTCCTTCCTTATTTCTTTTTTCCGTGTGAAGTATTTTTTGTGGGTTTTCTGTGGTTGAGAAGGACAAAAATATTCCCAGTCATTCTTCCCTTTCAAATTCTCTGCCACCCACTCCTTTACTATCTGTAAATGCAAAAAACCCCCAGACCAATGTGGAGGTAAAGATGACAGAAAGAGACTGTAGGAAAAGTAAAAGGAAATGGGAAAGGGAAGAAAAGAAAACCAGAGGAGCTGCAAGTCTCCACAAGTCTCAACTGACATGCAGTTTGAGCTCGTACTGCTGTTCAGCCTCTCAGAACAAGGCCAGAAGGATCCGACCCTTCTGCTATCCAAGTGTGCTCTGCCCAGGGGCCACGTTGACAGCGGAATCAGAAGGAAGTAAAGCAGAGGACTGAGGGACATAGTTGCTTTGTCAGTATACTTCTAGAGTACGAAAAGGGAAACAAAGAAAAAGACATGTAGGATGGGTGTCCTCCATTTTGATATCTCATCTTCTATTTAGTCTCATGGTTTTAAACTAGAAATTCTAGTCTTGGGAATTTAAGTTACTGTCAGAAATGCAGTCCTGGGCTATGTGCTCTTTTTATCCAACTGTTTTTTCTCACAGTACAAAAAAAAAAAGCTGTTTAGAAAAATGAGAAAGAAAGAAAAGCTCACTGACTTACCTGGTGTTCACACCTGCTGACATGGTGTGGTTTGCTGTTGTCGTCCCTTTATGGCCTTGGTCACATCGACTCATCTGTGGGGCTGTCATAGGCCTGGCAAAGGGAAGGTGAATAGCACACTAAAGACTAAATCTAACAAGCGTACTGAAATTCTGCTTGTGATCTGGTGAACTTTAGCACTAATTTTACCATGTCTAAACCTCAACCATTATTCAAGCTAAGCTGCATACTGTGACCTCCTGTGCATTCCCTCTCCCCATACTGATAACCAAACGCAGGCTCAGAGCTTTGAACCATGTGAGTTACCTGGTGAGAACTTCTACACTGTACAAGAGGGCCTGCAAAGAGGTGGCAAGGGCAGCCATAGCGGCAATCTCCTCACGAGCTGCTGTCACGGTCTCTACTTGAGAAGTTTGTCGCTTTAGTTTCTGCAAGTAACAGGGAACCAGTGCTTCCAAGACCATCAGCATCTGGAGGCTGGAAAAAGAATCAATACTTAGTCTGTTTTATTTTGTCAGTCCTGAAACTCACTTCAGGCAGAGGCTTAAGTTTCTATCTGAAGACCTCTGGATCTCTCACTAGCCTTGTGATTTCATTGCTTCTCACTAGGAAGGTGGTCCTGGGCCAAAGAAACTCTTGGATCAGGGCCTTCAGGGGGAAAATTAGTTGATGCATGAAACAATAATAATAAAAACAACCTAAACTTGTGGGTATCTTCTGAATATGTCAACAATTAGCAGACATTCATTTTCCCCCACAAAGATTCCTTTCTTCTCTGATTACCTCTTGGAAACTAACCTTTTTGCTTTAGCAGTTTACCTCCCCTCTCTCTGTATCTTCCTGTTCTTTCCAGCTGCCTGTTTCTCCCCCTCAGGTTCCCTCTCCATTGCTGGACAACAGAAACCTACGGCACAGAGCGTGATCCCCACTTGGAAATACAGCTTACGTGTTGCTGCTTAGGCTGCCATCCAGCTGGTGCTGCAGCCAGTGGCTGGCAGGATTTGGAGCTGGTGCCCTAGGAAAGGTATCAACAGGCAGAGGCTTGGCCTCACAGAGAAGCCCTGTGCTTGGAATGCATTTCTGTATCCTCTGCCTCCATTTGTCAGCCTTGCTTTTGCATACCATGTGCAGCTTTTATGCCTTTTCTGAGTCTGCACAAACCAAGAAAATGGATTAGCACCTTCTGAATGATTCAGGAGCATAGGCCACCACTGTCACACACAGCTTGATGGCTTCACTGATCGAAAAGGTCAAGTCTTCATTCCCATAGCAGAAGTCTGAGGGAGTAAAGCAATATGAGAAGACTATCACACAAACATACTGAATATGAAAGGAGCTAGCACACCCCTTCCTTTTTCCCCTCTTCAATTGCTTGCTTGTCACGTTAACAATCCCCAATAAGCTCTTGATTTTTGATCAAAATCTGTCTATATAAAGGAAACAGATGCTGTGCTCCCACTTGCACCCTGTCAGAACTCCAAGAACTCAGTAGGCGAGAAGCAGTTCTCAGTAGGTCAAATCATTGCCGAGCAGAAGGCCCACAGCTGCTACTGGAGTCCCGTTTCAAACATCACCCATCACAAGCAAAATCTTAAGCTCACACATGACAAGGACACACGTCAACTTAATGACAATTTTTATGCTCCCTCCACTTTTTCCTAGATGTTTCCACCACACTAAAAATGATGGTGGTACACCATTGATGACAGAAGACCGTTTTACTTCTAAAAAATCAAGCCCCTTCTATACCGGTAGCCACATGGGTGCCAGCACAAAAGTGAGTCTGGTTTGCTAGTGATTTTAAAAAAGCTTTCAAAAGCATTTAAGTCTCATACTACAAATATTACTTTGGGGATAATTAGTGCCAGGCACCAAGAAACTGAAGTATCTAAAGAATAATATTTGTAATACAACTATAGTCCCATTTTCAGAAGTGACTTTGGTATACAGGAGCCCAAGTCAAAGTTAAGGTCCCAAAGCATGTAAATCACTTTCAGCAATGGAACTTGGAAGTCAGATGTTTTAGATAATTCTGATCTTCATATGGAAAATACCAGGGACATCACATACTCATCTACGGTCTCATCGTCAACACACACTTGGGAATTTTCAGAGATGCCTTTGAATAACCCTCCACAGAAAACCAAAAGATGTTTACTACAGTCCACAAAAACAAAGAAACATCTTCTGTTTCTGTACCATTTTATATTATAACTTGTGATATAATTGTGCAGCATCGTAAAATCCCAGTATATAACAAAGCTTTAACTCTAAGGCTAGACAGGCTTCACAGTTCATCAAAATAAGTAGTATTTAAGGGAAGTGCAAATTTGGAAAATAAGTTGAAGATCCTTCTAAAAAGCAGCAAAAATTACTTTCCTGCAAATCACAAAGCAGCCAAATTCTTAAATGCTGCATTGCATGGATAACTATCAAGAGACACAGTGTCCTGGATACATCATACAGCCATATATATTCTGCTTTGTGATAAATCAACACCCCCCCTAGAACTCAGCACTGCTGAATGTCTGAATGGCATCCATCATTTACTAGTCATAGCCTGCCCACAGGAGAGGATGCCTTTGTTTCCTGCCCACATGGAGCAGAGGAGAGGATGACATTGATCTCGTCAGCATGATGAAGTTTATTAGGCATCTTTATTCTTCACCCACACAAGATAAAATTCAAAATGCCAGGGGCTAGTCTCAGGCTCAATGCAGAAAAACTAGCTTTGGAATAAAATAAGTTAATAATTCACCTCCTGCAGAAAATATCAAAAGGGCGATGGTGATAAAGCCAACCTTAAAAGCCTCATGAGGCATAAGAAACATATAACTGCATTCTGGGAGAAGAAAAGGGGCCCTGAACAAATCATCCCGCATCAAATGTATGTTGAATCAATAAACAACAAACCAGAATTACTGAATAAAGGGTGCCTTGCTGTTACCTAATGACTTGAGAGGCTTTTCTGCTTTCACCAGCTCTAAGATGTCCAAATTGTCTGGCGTATCTCCCTCTAAAGACTGCAGCAGGTCAAACAGGCACTGAGCTGACACTCCTTTACTGGTTCCATTGTTTGTAGCATCCTGTTTCAACAACAGACACTCGTGGTTGATTTTCTGAGAGCCTGTGTGCATCCCAGGAATCTTCATCTGGAGGTGTGGGCAACCTTTTTTTTTGACAAAGGGCCCATACGGAGTTCAAGGGCTTACTGCTGTCAAACAATAAGCTTTGCCTGACTCAGCAGATTGATGCTACGGTGGAAGCATGATCTGAAAGCTGCACACAGCTTTACCTCCCAGAAAGAGCAGACCTTTGCTGCCCTGTGAAGGAGAAAGATGTGCGTGCTTACAGAGTATGTGCAGTTAGATTTGGCAGTCCCACTTCAAATCAAAGTTCCATTAACTTGTTTTAACTCACTAAATTGTTAGGAAGTAATTAGTGAATATTTCAAAACATCGCTAATCCAATCTTGTAGTTCACATGTACCAAAACTTGGCATTAACCTTTTAGTTCCTATTCCTGGATTCCAAGAAAGGATTTGCATTTAAAGAGTTACAAATCACTATTGTCCTTTTATAACCTATTTATACACAGAAACGTAAAGTGAGACGACATTTACTAGCCTGGATACCAGTGGCCCATTATCCCAGCATCCTGCTCAATCACCTGATGAACAGAAGCATGCAGACAATAAGTTCAAGAAACGGTTCTGTGCAGCACCAAGTGCAGTAAGCACAAGTTCAGTAAGAACTGATTCCTCTTTGTGACCTCTGATGGGGGGGCTGGCTGCATACACAGGCTTCCCCATGCTGGGACCAGGGAATGGCTGTTACTCACAGGGAACTCCAGGAGAGGGGCCACACTTGCAAACAGCTGCAGAATAAAGGGCTTGCGATGCAGAACGTAAAACTGGCGGCACGCAAACTCAATCGCTTGGCGTAACTGTGGGTTGCTCTCATAGTCAGCGTATACCTGAGCAAATGAAAAGGATGTGGAAGTACTACTCCAGTGGCAGGGCTCTTCATCTCCTAACCCAAGACTGAATCAACTACAGCCTTGTCATTCCTGATATATTTGACAAACATCTTTATAAAGATGGAGACTTGACAACCCTTCCCTGGCAATGCATTTCAGGGACAAACTATCCTTAGACAAAAGGTTTCCTTGTGATGCTTGAACCTTCTTTGTCACAGCTTTAGCCATTATTTTCTGTCCTATGTATCAGAGGTAGATTCCTTCCCTCTCCTTCCTAGAAGCACTTTACTTGTTTGAAGCCAGTTAATGCTTTCTTCCTCAATCTCCATCTTTTTCAGTTAATCAAATCCCAGCTCTTTCTGTCCTTTCTCACATGATGTGTTTTCTAGATGTGCATCCCTGTTCCAGTCTGCAGGCTCTTCAGTTAACTGATGTTTTTTGTGCAGTGCCCACAGCTGGACAGAGCCAGCACTTCAAGTCAGGAGTGCTGCTGATTGGAGCAGCAGAATTATTCCATGTTTCTTTCACAAGATCCAAAGCTGCAGAGTCACCCCAGAATGGCATTTGAGATATTTTCTTTGTGTTTTTTATCCTTCAACAGAAAGACACTGTTGATTCATGTTTAGCTTCAGATCTAGAACAACTCCAATATTCTGTCTGGCAGAAGTGCTACTGAATCAGCTCCTTTCTCTTCCATATTTATGTGGCTGATCCAACCTGATCAAGATAATCTGTTTTGTTTTGTTTTTTTTCCTTTTTTTCAGACTGCATCTCCAGTTTGTCAAGATAATTTGAACTCCTAGCCTGTCCTGCAACGCAATGATAGTTCCACCCACTTTTAAGATATTTTAAGTTTTTTAGAGTGGCATTTCCTTCAGGGCTGGCGACTGAACCACGCAGCCAATATGTTGCCAAAGATGTGGGATTTGTTTCTCAGTTATGTAAACAGTATAAATTGCTAGGAGTAACTTCACTGTGCTTCCTTCTTCTCCCCATTTCAATTGTCTGTCTGCACTTCTCTGCTGGTACAAGTCTGTGGGAGGTTTGGGGTGGGGATAGGCAGGATTTTCTTGCTATTTGCTGGCAACAGGTAATGCCGAGATTTTATAGTACTGCAAAATTCACATTACAGCACAGGGCTTTGAAGGTTTCTAAAAAAACTATTACTGTGTGAGACCTCTGCAGAGGTGTATTTACTTCTCAGTAGCCGAGTAGGCTGAAGAGGTTAGTATGTCTTTAATACAATCAGAAGCTTCTAGCGTGCTTGTGAGGACAGTCAATCACCATGGCATGTTACACTTGCAGCATCTCATTTACTTGAGAAAAGGGAAATAAATAACTGTATATGCATTTCACCAAGGAAAGCAAAAAAAATCTGCAACAAAAAAAGCCCTGTGGGGGTATATGCATGTATGCATCAGGGATTAAGCTATTAATGGCCAATTCAAGCCCAGAAGTGGTAAAAGAATTTGTTCGTGATGACCACAAACCAACCAGCTGACCTTGGGTGCCTAGAAGAGAGATGTGAGGGTCTGCAAAAAACAAACAAGCTCAGCAACACTTGGGTTTTCTTTTGGAATTGCCTTTTTGCCTCCCAAGAGTGGTATTTTATTAATTCAGTAGTTGACAATAATTGGGGGGGGGCGGGGAATAGGAAAGAATTACAAAACTAATTTCTCTCAATATGAAAAGTGACGATGAAGGGAGAGTCCTTCACAGGGCTGAATGGCTGAATGGTTACTGCCAAGTACTTCAAATTAAGTTATTTTATTTTGAAATGTCTTGTTTCTAATGAATAAACCCATGCACTGCAGATCTGGATCCAATACATACTTATCTAATCATGTAAGGCATGATATTAGTTTCCAGTTACAAAAGAGTTTGTTTAGATAGTTAAATTCATCAGTGGTCGTAATTATTGTGCTCTGTTAACTATGTTAAAATGAACACAAGTAGGGATATCATGGTCATTGCGTCTTTTACAGAAACAATAGTTTTTTTTGTATTTGCATTATAATACTAAATCCCTGTTTAGATACCATCTTTGAGCCCTGCAGAAATAATCTTTCTGTCTGTAAAAGAACTATATTGGGATTTTTATTTTCAGTATCTGATTTTTCTCAAACGTTAACAGGAAAAAAGGCATTCTTGTACTCCTCAAAGTGAAGAGAAACTCCACCTCTAATACTGCCACTATTTGTCATCACTCACATGAAAAGACAACATACAGTTTTTCATAAACATTTAGCATTATTTTCTGTTGCTATTTAAATTGGAGATAATACAATTGTCATACTTAAAGAAGTGAATGTAATTTAGTTTCAATCAGCAAGTAGCTAGTTCAGATACTTCAATATTCCCCAAAATTTCAGCCATCTCTGGAGGAAAAAACACTGAGGGAGACCCAAGGTTCCCAAATTTTCCAGAAATTTCACATTTCTGTGTGGAAGTACATAGTATGGGAAACCAATATTCATATACTTAACATAAAGAAGAAAAGAAAATGTAGTCATTTACTCAAGAAGAAAAGGGAATGTAGTCTCAGGAATGCTGATTTGGGCCATCCCACCCTGATTTGTTGTCTTCTGGGGGCCCCCAAAATCTGTGATCTCACCAGGACTCAGCAGTTTAACAGTCAGTTCTATAACAAAGTGCTCGCTCAGAAGTCTTCCCTCATATTGTTCGTGGAAATGGCTCACCTGCAGCATGCTGGGGAGGACCCACTGGTACCCACTGAGGGAGAAGAGGTGGTTAAAGTGCACAGCTGTGTTGATGACTGTGGCAGCGTACTGCCTCAACAAGGCACTGTCCTCAGGGTGCAGGATCAGGGCACCATTGAAGACATTCAAGAACAGCATGATCTCGTCCCCCCAGGGGAACTCGCTGGGCATGCCAAGGAACATCTCCTCCAGCAGCTTAATCCACAAGCTTTTCTGAAGAGTGTCCAGACCAAAGAGCTCTTTCCCAGCTGTGGGAGAGAAGAGGCAACAGCAATCAACTCTGTCCATCACAGCCAGCCTCACAACATCCCCAGAGGCCAAAGGCCTCTCCAAAGAACCATCCCACAACACTGACCATCGTTCTGCATTCTCAAAATGATGTCACCCATCCTCTACTTCTGGAAGTGCCCACAGGGCTTGAGCAAACCTTGACTGAAAGCGACACACACAAAGACCAAGAACGATGAATATCACACAGCCCATTAAATCTGCTCCCCACTGGTTGGAAATTCTCCTCTTAAAAAGCAAAAGCAGAACTGAGCTTGTGCATGCATCATCTGCCTCACACAACATGAATGGCTGTGTGGATTTATGCTGAATTTTTACCCTTCAGGTGTCCTGCACATGACAGGACATCGATGTGGAGTTACAATAATGCTTCTGATAGGAAGTGCCTTTAGGGTCTGTTACAGAACTTGCCAATGCTTACCATCCTGCAACAGTGGCCTGTTTAATCCCCAAATCAGGCTGGAAACCCTACTTGATTTTCAGAGCAGTTTCTAAAAAGTGGGCTGTTTCTATATCCCTGCTGCAGAATTTGCCTCATCTTCATTGGAAGTCCATTGCTTCCTCAAAGCCGATGGCAAAGGACTCTGAGCAATCCTTTTTAGGTGCAGTTATGCTACTGGACACAGTATCCCAGCTGTAGTCTCGTGCATAATTTTAATACATAATTATAACTTATTCTCATTTAGGTCCAAAGAAAGTAGCTTTGTCTGGATACCTCTAACAGCAAAGTCCTTTCTGCTGTTGTGCTTAAGAACCAACAGCTATGTATCATTTTTCCTAGGAAGAGATTTATCAGCTTTCAGTAAAGCTACAAGCCTGCAAGTTTCTAAGGCAAAGGAAGTGCCTCACAGAAACCTTCTGGGCCCCGTACAATCACCAGAGAAAGCTATCAAAAGGCCATACCTTGGGGGTCACTGAATAGTGAGAACTCAGCATCAATGGCACTTCGGGGAAATGAAGGCAAGCGGAGGAGGTCCTCCTGGAGCATAGATACATGGGACTGCTTGTGGGCAGTAGGGATTTTCTGTGTCAGTGATATCAGGAACAACACTCGCCCCACCTCTTCTAGCTTGCGAGTGAACACCTGAGAGAGAAAGAGAGACAAGGATCAGCATCAGTCTGATCAAAAAGTTCTTTACAATGTATATGCACTTTTCTAGGTTAGCTTCCCTGGCTTTCTCTGGTAGGAGGGGTGCTGCGCTCACGGCCCAGAGGATCCTGTTGAAATTCACAGGGTTAGTGCTGCAGCCTTTTGCTAGAATTTGCGTGACCACTGTTCTTCAGCCCAGCTCCGCAAAGATGGATCATGTTTGTAAAAGAGGTTTTAACAACACTTGCTATTTCAGTCTTGTGGAGGACCCTGAGTGGTTGTCAAATGCTTTGCAACTGTGTCGTGCCGTCTTTTGTAGGTTAATGTAAGCCAAACCAACTCCAAACTGAAAGCCATACAGTTGCAGTTGCTGTCTGCAAGGTCTTAGACTATAGGCAACATGAGGCTGGCATTGTTATCTACCTTCTGGGTTGAGGTTGGCTCATGTCTGGCCACAGAAAGTGTATGTACAAAAAAAAGAAACAAAGCAGACCAGATTCTGAGTTACTGCAAATGAGCAAAGTCCTGATGACTTCACATCATCACTTCTGGTTTACACCAACAGGGAAACCGAGTTCCATTCTACCAGCCTCCTTTGAACTTCTGACTGGTAGGACTAGTCAGGCTAGCGATTTTATTTGAATGCTAAAAGTAACCATAAGGCAGAGTGATGCTCAGTAGTAGAAGCAACTGTCTTTGGAAGCAGTTTTGAGACAGCTCTTAGCTACTGGGATGAAGCCAAAACTTGAAGCATGTGGCTTAACATGTGACAAAGCTCAGCTTCCCACGTCCTGCAGTTGCCACGACCTTGCTCTGAAGTGCACTCATCTTAGAATTGGGTGCTTAATCAATCAACAGTAAAGAAAGTACTTTTCCATGGATTGCTGCTCTGAGGGTAGACTCTACAGTGCTGTTTTCTTTGCTGAAGCTGGATGTTGTCCAGCAACTTCTTGCATGACTACAGAGAGGCTGGTAGATGCTTGATTTTAGTTTTACCTTAGAAATATTTTGGCCTCTAAGTACTCTAAACAGAAAAATGTGGAATGCAAAATAATGCCCTGACAAAACTGGATAGGCCATTTTAATGTTTCTGGGTCATGTAGGGTATATCAAACTCATTTATTCGATATGTGGGGGACATCTCCTAGAACCAGAGTGAGAATAATTTCTGTCAGAGAAGCAACCAAAATGATCCCAAGTAATTTCAGATTTTTATAGACTTTCTACTGACAGATGCAGCACATGAAATATTTCCCTATTCTGTACCGTACACATGAGACAACACTAACTATATTCTCCATTATTTTAGCTGCTAGTACCTTCTAAGCAGCTTTAGAGCTGCTTTTTATAATCATTCCTGATGACATTTTCCTGCCCTTGCACTCACATTGCTAGGGACACAACTACAGTAGCTGGTTTTTGGCTAGAATAATATAACTGTTAATGCCAAATTCATACTGTTTAACCACATTTCCCGTCCCCCCTTTTTATTTCCTGCTTATTATCATCCTTTGCAAATACAGCTAGAGTAACTTTTCCCTAAACACTCAACTCTCTGCTACTGAGACAACTTTGCTTTTGTGAAAAACAGAGCATGCAGCTCCTACAGGCAGAGTGAGCTCAATACCATTGTCTTACTGTCTAAAGAAATGATACTTGTAGGGCTTTGCAGCACAGTAAAGGCACTGCCCTGCCACTTTAGTTAGGGTTTAGTTCCTAAGGCAGAGCTCCTGGGAGCTGCAGAATATTAGCAGGGTCAAACAGATTACCAAGTCATGAGGCTGGAAGATAGAGAGGACAGTGCTCTTCTGAGGGCAGATATTCCCCTGATGAAACAATTGCTACTGCTGTGCCTCTGGGAGTAGCTATGGTAGAAGACTATCATCTGAGAGCCGGACAAGGAAGAGAGGCAGGTAACATTCTTTACAGTGAGAGGACAGAGAGGAAGGTAGAACAGACAATTTCTGCTCCACAGCCAGAGGTCATGTTAAAGAAAGGAGTAAGCAACTTTTGAAGCTGGGGCAACGGAGGCTATTCTGGCCAAGTGTAGGAGAACGCAAAACAATTCGCTAAAGAGATGGTGCCTGGAGAGAGCAGGAGGGAATTCACATTGCATTCTTTGACTTTTCTTAAAATACTATACACCTGTTCAATGGCACCAGGCCAGATTTCATGCCAACTGCTACTTCTCCAGCAAAGCTCTCTAACTGCATGCAGCATGAGTGAAAGCCTTTAAAGGGAAAAGAAAGGTTTATTTATGGGTTTGTTTCTGGGCAGAGGTGTTGGGTGACAGTAAGATACCTGCTTCTGAATGAGCTCTTGACCCTTTTCTGGATGCATCTGCACCAGGTTGAGCTGGGGAGAAACTGACCTCCGGAAAGGATAAATGTCACGGACGTAGGTCTGCCAGGAAAGGAAATAAGTGTATTTTAAACAAACGTAATCGTAACAGTATCACTCAACACAATGGAATAAAAGGCCCTTTAGTCCTTTCTGAAGCTTTTGGGTAGGGGCTTTCAGATGGTGTCAGGCATCAAGAGAAATTTGCTCTTTTCTAAGCAAGCTAGACATTAACGACTTAAGAGCAAGGGACTCCACTTCTGCCTCTTCCCTGTTCTGTCAAACTCCAATCTTTCACCACACACAACTGAACACCCAAGATGTAGTGCCCACAGGACGGAATTCTGTCTATTTACAGGCTGCTTGTTCTCCTTCAGATAACCCTGATGTTTAAAAAGGGACAAGATGGAAAGAACAAAGTCATCTGGACCTGACCTTTGCCTTACCTTGTTGTAATGAATAAGATTCCATCGCTTATCCATTAAAAAGTAATGAGAAGACTGTGTTTCAGGTATATTAAAAAACTCCAGACACTCCTGAAAAGGAAGAAAAAAACCCCATCCTATTAATTATCAGCTGTCTTGTACAAAGACCACAGCATCCGAAAGCAGAATATCCAGCTAATAATGTATAAAGGCACAAAACATGCATGCCTCAGTCAGGTTGGTACACTGTTCTGGCATTAATTCTTAATTTCTTTTTTTAATCATAAAGTACATGAATATGTTTGTGATAATCAAGGCATGCTGACAGCACAGTCCTGAAGACTGATGTTACTTATTTCAATGTCTTCATATCGCACACATTTGTCTGGCTATATAAGCCACATGGGTATTGCACCTTCCATTTCTATACTATGTATTTATCAAGCTTTAGTGATAGGGGATGTACAGAGATACTAAAGTTCCAATCCTTCAAAGCACCGAGATGTGTGATTCCCATTAAAATTTAATATAGTTGGACAAACTGAAGGCTTTTACAAATCCGTTTCCTATGTGGCTCAGTTAAGGCCATCCAGGAAGTCTTTGGCAGAAGGGGAAACTGACCTCATATCTCCTAGATCCCAAGATATCGTTGTGGTTACTAAACCATCAATTCCACTCTGATCTTAATCACTCTGTTTCTTCAGTGTTGATAAACCCAAGCATTTAAATGATACATGTATTTATCCAAAGGGTAGTATACAGCAAATAACCAACAAGCTGCCGTGTCTTTAAATGTAGTTGCATTTGTGGGGTTTTGGCTGTCTGTAAGGTCAGGGAATTTCTCTTGTCGTTTAACATGGGAACCTGTTTCTTGCAACCAAGTTCTCTTCACAGGAGACGGAACTGCCTGTCAGCAAAACTTGCCTCCCCAACACTGAAACAGGATGATCAGGGAGAATGTATTGCTGGCATACAGGTATGGCAGGTAAAGGTACTAATAAGCACTTTGGTTCAAAAACTCAGTCCTACCTTCAGAAGAGCCTCAAACTGTGTGTCCTCATGGACTGGTAACTGAGTTGGGATGTCACACTCATTCTGTCCATGCACGACAAGGGTTTTTGTGCCTGAAGAAAGAAAAGCAGTTGCTTTCTCCCTGGCCTCTTTAATTAACTTGATTTCAAAAGACTGCCCATGGAGGAAAAGCAATAGTTAAAATTCATTCCTGGGCAGAGAGACAATGCCAGTCCTGTCTGGAATCCATTATGTAGCGTTAGCATAGTCTCACACTTCCACAGTTAATGAGGAATCGATCCGTTCCTAAACAATGAGCTGGCTTTAGCAGCAACTGTCACTCTGAGGAAGGAACAAACCTAAAAGGGCAAATCTGTTTTTCAGCAAGATATCTCTTGCCTGACTCGTGACAGCCTAGGCTCATAGCATGCTCTTCTTGGGCGCTCTCAAGACTTAAATGAGAGGTTGCATCAAATCAAACTGAGCCCGAATGGTACAGTCTTACACTGATCATCCTGCCAGCCTTTCACAGCCTAACTGGCACAAAGGTCTGGGCTGAAAAGACTATTCTAATTCACTTTCTGTTTGCTTCTTTTAGAGCTCTTAAAGTGGCTTTCTGAATCTCTGGGAATTAGTGTTGGAATTTACTAACTGAATCCTCAACTCAAGGAAAACTTACTTAGAATATGCAGCCATTTGTAGCAGGTCTTTTTCTGATCCAGTTCTGATGGATCTCCTTTTTTGCTAGAATTGGTCAAGAACTTGGAAGTGAAGGAGATTTAAAGACTCATTTCTTATACCTGGCATTGAGGCAGTCACCAGCAGCTTCACTTCACATTGTTCCTTCTTCATAGTCTGTTTGAGATCCTTGAAGAAGAGTCCTTCTACGTAACCCACCACTTCCCAAAGGAAGGTAAGTGTGGCAGAAATGGCATCCATGCCCCACTCACACGGAGTGCGTACAAAATACATGATTAGTCCCACCTGCAGGTAATAAGTAAGAGGAATATCAGGTTATACACAATCTTACCTGTGCAGAGCACTGTATAAACACAGAACAAGAATATTGTTCTTCTACCTTTCTTCACTCAGAGGGATAAACTCATTAAACAGACATCCTGAAAGTTTATACATACTACAGAACAATCTGTCTGTACTATTCTTCCTTTTTCTAGAGAGGATGAAGGTTGGAGGCAAAAAGTACTGTTGCAACCCAGCCTCAAAAGCCACTGTAGATGAGGAAAAGGGAGAACCTCTGCAGTAAGAGACTTCCTATGCCTTCTGCTCTGGTCTGCTGCCACATAGACAACTCTCAAACAACAGAGGGCTCCTGGGGTAGCATACATGTTGTCTGTTTCATCTCCCAACTGCAACAAATGCATTTTCCAGTCTTGAAGGAAGCTGCTAGATTTGCTCCAATAGGACTGTCCAAGAGCAAAGCACTTTCTGAATCAAAATTAAGTAAAATAATTAAAGGTTTCTGGCACTGGGATCGTTCTATTGGTCTACAACTCATTGTTTGTGGTTCAATTCAGAAATCCATGACAGGTTGCTTAGGGGTTTAATAAAAAGTTGAAAGTTCCGTTTCCTCTCCCTGGAAGGACTGAAAGGCTGGTGTAAGCCTGGCGACTCGCACCCACAGCCAGAAGCAGATATAAGCCATATAGGGAAAGCTAAGAGCATTTATTTCCTCGCAGATCGTGACATTAACTTTTTAAAAGACACATGCAGGCAGAGGTGAGATTCTGGCCTGCACAGTGGACCCACAAGCTACTCACCAAGTAGTTAAAGAGGATATGAGATGTCTGGGCAGGGAAGTCTCCAATGTTCAACAAAAGCTTCCTTAACATATACATCAGCTCATCCTGGAAGAAGAGCACATATTTTTTCTTTCCATCACAAAATGGAGAATGAATTTCTCCCTTTTGTCCTCTCTGGCTTTGTTTCTTGCCATTTTTCCATACTCCCTTGTTCAGCCCTGTCTCTCTATGCATGAGGTAGAACTATATGCTTGTGACTGCTCCCACATTTCCCAAAATAAGCCCTGGGGCACAGCACCCGGTCCATGTCTTTCTTTTTTCTCTCAGACAGGCCAATACCTCCTATTGCAATTTGTACCGACTGTACCACCCTGATTCTCCATTCCTCTCCCTGTGATAATCCCTGTGTTGCTTAACACAACAAATGACTACCTAAATGATCCGTGAAATCTAGTTCGGCACAAGTCACTACCTGTGGCTGCTGGGTAGCAGGTGCAGGCAGAATCTAACTTTTCTTCCTTTAGAGGTTGCCTGCTCTAAGTGTAGACTAGTACATTTCTTATGGTGGGAAGGGGTTGTAGAGAGGAAGAAATCTTACTGTCAGCTAAGGACAGACAGACTGTATTATAAATTTATTGTATGGCACTCATCCTCTTAAAACACAGCAGATTTGAGTTAGTGTTATGGGCATGAATACGCATAGGACAACCTATGCCAGGGATATATCTGCTGAGAGCTTCCAAGGAAATACACCTGTTTCTGTGTTCCATACTCATGGTTGTAGTAGGCCTATGAAGAGATGGTAAAACAGCAAACTATGATAGCTCAGAGGCTTCTGAGGCTGGACAGCGTATAGCTTCCTTCTCAAAGACACTTAACAAACAGAAGGGACTCTGCACTTAACTAGAAGATTTGAGGACTACGGCTGAGAAGGCTCAGGAATAGTGAGGTCACTGAGACATGATTATTCAAGGAACCAAAAAGCAGATTTTCCTGGTCTTTCTCAAGGTTTAATACTAATTTTGTAGTCAATGCTTAGGTGGTGGCTTGGAAGATGAGGACAGTGACATTATTGATATACCCCAAGTGTACAGCTGAGAAAGTGGTATGGAGAGTCTCAGTGCCTTTCATCCAGTCAGAACTGGTATGCCTGTCTTCCATAAAGCACAGCCATGGCATTAGAAAGCAGTCTAATAAGCCAGGGAGAGACAAGGCCACCCCCATCTTTCAGAGAAAGCTGAACATTGTGGCACGGGTGGAGGCAATATTACCTGTGTTAGATAGAAAGGGTTGTGCTTCAGTAAGCAGCTGTTCAAAGCTTGGCTTAGAGCAAGTCAGATCCTTAGTGGTGGTAAATCGGCTGTGTCCTATTTATATTAGTCGACAAAGATAGAAGCCAACTGATGATATGGCCTAAAAGACTTTGAGCTACATTGTAATAGCAAATGTTTTTCTCCAGTGAAGCCCACAGAGCGTTTCCGCTTGCAGATGTGCTCCGCTGCTCTAAGCAACACATAGATCCACAGGGAAGAGGAAGAGTTTACCTGTCTGTTGCTGATAGTGAGCTTCTCAAGGAAATGGCGCAGAACTGTAGAGGGGTCTTCAATTAAGCAGTTCCACAGGACCTGCTGAGCAACAGCGCTTACTGTAAAAGAGAAAGAAAACAAAGTCAGAACCAACCTTGGAAAAGCCTTGAACTGGTACACTTAGAAGCAAACGTTCTTGACATTTTACCACAATTGTCATGTTTTGTACTGAAACACACAGGAGCCTCTTTGATGCACTAGGATTCCTAGTCACCAGCACGGTCATCTCAAGCAATAATGACAGGTCTAATATTTGAACCTTCCCTAACTACTGGTGATATGACAGGAAGCCCTTCACCACTGTAGTCAGAGGAATAATAAAGAAATAACTATTTGAATTCATAACTCCAGATGGACAAATCTGGCAGTTAAAAAACATAAATTCATGTACTTTTTTGTTCATGCATAGAAGTTCAATTTCACAGTGATTCATTGAGTGATTTTATCTGGTATTGGTGAACAGTATTAGATAGCCAGCAGGGAACTGTATTGATGATCAGCTCCCCAAAGTGTAATTAATTGCAATCCTGTGATGATTAACAGCAACAGAGAATTATTCATTATTTTGTTTTCAGTACTCAGTTCCTGATCACAAAATGACACATACATTATTTAGGTGGCTGACTACTTCCACCCAAAACTGAATACAAAACGTAACAGAAAGTTAAACGTGCAATCAGCTGACATGATGAGTGAAGAGAAGGGAAGGAAGGGCAAGTCCACCACCTGTAAACATTTTAGAGAAACAAATACAGAAAAATGCATTATTGCTTTATAAATACATCACAGCCCCTAAGAAAAATGTTCAAGCTGTGTATAGGTGGCTTTGCATTTGTCATAGGATCAAAGAAATGTTGGTGGGAATAGACCTCTGGAGGTCTCTCGCCCAAGCCCCGCTTGGAGCAGGACCGTCACCTGCACCAGATTATGTCAACTGTGGCTTTGCCTAGCCAATGCTTGATAACCGCTGTGGATGGAGAATCAACAGAAATTGTACTATGCTCCTGGTTATGAAGTTCCTTCCAAATTTCTAACTTGAAGTTCCCAAGTTGTAACCTCTAAGTTAGGAAACAAAGAGTTAGAGGAACTCTTTTCATCACACCAAATAAGCCCAGCCTCTGCAGCCACTCCTCAGAGAACAACTGTTTTAGGCCTCTTACCATCCTGGTATCCCCCCGCTAGACCCTTTTCAGCTTCTCAGTATCCTTCTTGAATTGGGGGCTTCTTTAGGGCCCCAAAAGAGGGAAAAAACCCTCAAAACCAAAACACAAATCATGGAGAAAAAAAGGATAAACCCTACAAAGTCACATTTCTGTTGCGAATTTACTTTCAAATAGTTTGTGAGGATTTAATAGATTATTCATTAACTTTTTAACAAACACATATACTCATAACAATACATAGCACATAATACTTCTAGGAAACATGAACTGTGAGCAAATACAAGGTTGTGTTACACCTCTTTTCCACTTTAATTATGGCACCTAACAAATGTAAGCCATTGTTCAAAGTGCCAGCACGTTCTACCACCCTGAGCAAGAATCCCTTGAAGTTTAATCTAGGTCAGTACCTGCCACTCCATCCTCCCGGACTTCTCCATCTTCCATCAAATGGACAATGGGGAGCACTGCTGCACAGATGCATGCTGGAAACACAGCTTGGGGTGGTTGTGGCACATGATGGTTTGGAGTATGCTCTGTAGTGTGTTCTTCATCTGGAGCAGTAAGAAGAGTACAAGGTGAGTGTTAGTGAATAAGCTGTGGTATTATCCAGGTAGGTTAGATAAACATTTGTGTCAGGTGCTGTACAAACAGAACAAAATGATAGGCTGTCTGATCACTGCACAAGCACAGCAGGTTTACTGCGATCTCCAAGAAGCGACTGAGCCTCCAGTCAACTTCTTGATCAAGAGTTTTCATTGTAAATATATATTATTTCAATTTACATGTCTTTGCTTGTAGGGAATCCTTCTTTTTGATGAAATCCCGTTTCAATACCGTTCTTCAGCTAGAGTGCTCTCCATGGCACTACTCTCTAAATGAAACATGAGAGGTAAGGGGAGACGTTGTGACAGCAGGGGTGAATAAAATAATGCAGGTCAGTAATTTATTATAAAGTGGCTCAAGCTTGGGAATACATTCAGGAAGGACGTAATGTAAAAGGAAATGCCACCAGCTTTATGGATCAAGAGGAAAGGCTTCCAGAGGATGAAATCCTATGAAAGGACAGTTCAAAGTGAAGTCAACCCACCTTCTGCACTGACTGCTGACCGCACTGACCAGACAGAGCCGCGGCGGAAAGAATAGTTCCTATGAGATGTACTGGAGGTGCAGGAAGGACTCACAGAGAGACGGCGGGAGGCCAGGTTGGCAACTTCTTCTACTGACAAAGAGAATGGGAAATGTCAATCCAGATCCAACTGGCAGACTTTAGGGAACTTTCTGAAGGACAGCACTTACAACCAAATTGGAGCATTGAAAATTCAAGTCAGGTAACACTCAAAATGCACAACTTAAAATCTATAAAGATCAGTCAGATAGGTAATGTGCTCATGCTTTGGGAACCACCAGATTATGGTTCAACAAGAGGGCTCAGTGCTTTGGTAAGTCACATTGTAACTGAGTTGGCTCTATAGTTCTTTTTATCTACACCCTGTTAACCATCATGGTTGCTGGTGCTCAGTTTTTCCTAAGAATTGAGATTTCTGCTCACAGATTTCCCAATGTATGTTTAGATCTGAACATCACTTTACTCACCTACATGGCACATACCTTGGAATGCCTTTAATGAAATCTTTGTGCCCTGTTAGCCTAGACCAATGAAAATCCTCACCCAAAGACTAAGCTTTTCATGACTTACGTCATATAACTTTGGCTGTCTGAAAGTTTGGTACTGAGGCTGAGCTGGTCATCCAGTCTCCCCCACTATTCACCATAAAGGTAGAAAACTCCAAGGGCAATTCAGCCTATCCTAAGCTATGTGCCTTAAGACAGATACTGCCAAAAAGTGATTCCTCTCACCTTTTAATTATTAAAGGGTTAAAGTTAGGAAAGACAAATTTCATTCCTAGTGTGGCATATTCTCATTATATTAAATCCTGCAAGATGCTGGGAGCTTTGAGATGTTAAATGCTGGAAAGCTCAAATGAAGTTGGGGGGGACAAGGGGTAGGGGGCTTCAGGTCATGTAGTGAATACTTAATACGTCCAAGGTTTTGTGTTTTTCTTGTAATTTTTAATTACACTTTTTCCCAATGACTTGGACTCTTCAACAAATTAATGCGGTTGCAACTTTCCTAACACTAACAATCAACGTTCCTGGACATCATACTCCTAAGCAGTGCTCTATGCTGGTGGCAAGTGCTCTCAAGATCCTGGAATGAAGTTCGTGCCCCTGGAGCACACCTTCTTCTTCCTGCTCTGAGCTTGGTGTGCAGGTTGGCTCGTAGCAGGCCTCCTGAGTGATGGGGATGGCAGTGATGAGACTGGCTTCCCGGCCCAGGCGTTTCTTCTCTTCTTCCTGCTGCAGGTTCTTCAGGATGTGCTCTGCTCGCTGATGGGAACGTGAAACAGCTCTGGCTGAAAATGACTTCTGTCAACAAGAAAAGAGAAAACTAACAGCTTCAGGCTGTGTTTCAAGATGCACACATCCTGCATTTTCTGCCAGAGACCTCAGTGACATTCAGCAACTCAGTTTCTAAATACAAACCAGACTAGTGCTAGCTGTGCAGAGATTCATCAGGAAACTCCTCTTGGGGCTATGTCTGCAATAAGCCTTGATGCAGACTTCTCCCAAGAGACACCACATGAACCAGTGCAGAGAAAATGATCTGTGAGGCAGTTCAAGTGAACTAATCTCCTCTTGGAGGAAGAACAGCTCTGTGCTCCTAAGATCTGAGTTACTGTCTCTCACAGGAATATGATATGCAGTACAGTACCTCAGTGAAGGAACAGAAAAGCCTTATGCCCATGTAGGAAATTCTGTGTGCCCTACATGGACTGTGTACTAGATTTTTCCTAGCTGAGGAAGACAAGAAAACTCAGAGTTTAGTCTACATCTTTTGGCTTAACTTCCCCTGTGCCACTACAGAAAAAAACCCAGTGCTTACTCTCACAATGTCTGCTTACCGACTGATCTTCATTTATAGGATCTTGCACACTCCCGCTGCACTGAGGGACCCAGGGGGGATCAAACATTGGCACAGATGGCATCCCCAGGACGGGAGAAGGCAGAGTGAAGTTTATACTTGGAGGAGGGATCTAAACAAAAACAGGAAAGACATTTTGTTACATCAGACTACTTTTAATGTTAGTACTGCTAATTAAACATGAGCACAAGTACCCAAGATATTAATTACCTCTGCAAATCTTTCTCAACTCCATCTCTCACTACGCTGTAACACCACATATGACAAATTTATTTCTTTCTCTGATGTTTTTCCTGATCTGTCCCCCCATCATACTCTCCCCATTTTATACAAGAGTTCTACACACCACCTCCCCAACTAGTGTGAGTTACACAACCATTTTCTTCTCTAAACAGATTTTCAGGTCATTTCATGGCAGCCCGTCATGACACATCTATTCCACAAGGCAAGCTGTAAATGGCAACATTGTGTTTCATGCATCCTATCTACCTTAAAGATCTGCTGTGCTCCCTCTTCCATCCTTGGCCAGACTTGATACCTAAACCTCCAGAGCGTGTGAAATTTGAGAATGGCGTTCAGTCTTTGCACCGTCTCTGGGTGATGAAATTCGGACATCAGCATGTCAGAAACAGCCTCTGGCACTTTCACGGCACACAGCAGGAACATGGCAGCTGCAGGGAGAGAACATCTGATCATCTGTTTTCCTTAATAACATGTTTATTTGGCAGAGAAAAACTGCAGCTGTACAACCCCCCCACCAAAAGAAACCTAATCTTGGTTCCCGAAATGAGATCAGCAGTCTACCAGGCCTAGCAAAAATTGTACTGCTTCATGAAACAAGCACGTGTGATTCCACCTTTTGGAGTCACACCGCATTACATGTGAGGTTTGTAAAAGCTTCTGGAAAACCTGCTTTTAAAATAAAATACAGCTTTGCTTTTCTCACTAAAAATCTCAGTCATGACTGGTTTAAAATAAAAGGCATCTCTTGAAGTAACAAGATCAATTGAGTCTGGCTTTCAAAGATTCCACTTCCAAGTGATTTCTGTGACGATTAATAAAGGCTGGTTTAACAGAAGTTCTGCCTTCCCCTCAGAGCAGGAGACAGTGCCCCAAGTAGAGCCTCACCTGTCTGTTTTCCTAGATAAAACCACAAAGAAAGGTTCTTAGTTAAATGGGCACCATGCAATGATCACAATCTGCCTCCAAGAGAAAACGGAGTTGCTACAAATTGCGAGACAAAGGACCAGATCACAATGGAAAACAGCACAATAGAAGCTGAGCTGGCCCCTAGTTATTTCAATGGAGCATATCAGAATATAACCAGACACAGTCAAACTCCAGACTGATGGAGGCCAATTAATTTAGAAGGGTGTCTGAGGGACATTGACCAGGAAACAAAAGCAGAAGGAACACAGTTGCTGTGGGAGTTCAGTGGGTGTCAGAGAGTCCATGGCTTCTTTGACCGGTAGCTCACCACAGAGCACTGGAGACAATTTCTCTAGATTCGGTGGCCATTCCTCCGCAGTAGAAAGAGGACATTTGCCATGGTGTTTGCCTCAACACTTAGTCGGAAGGTGCCCGGCATGAGAGCTGTCTGAACATTGCAGAAAAACAAGGCTGCTCTTTGACTGCCTAGGTCCTGCCTTGCACTGCGAAGTGCATTCCCATTCCAGCTCCAAAGTCCTGCTCCGAATCTGTAGGGACCTTCCTGCTTCACCAGCTCAGAGAACTTTCTACTCTTTGGCCTTTTCAATGTAACTATGTCAAGTCTCAGCAGGACTAATTTAAGTGTGAGCTCCTACTGGAGTAACCAAAAAAGGAAGTACAGCCTTGGCAGAGGTCAGGAGATGGTGCTGGTGTACACTAACGCAGGAGTTCTTTTTAGCCAGCTTGTGATAGCAACATTAGGAGTTTTCAGGTTTTGACCTTGGTGAATGTAATTTATGCTTGGGCTGAAATCGCTCGCTACTAAAAAAGCTACTACAGACCCTCAAATGGATTTTAACGCTTCCTTCAGGAAGGGCAGAAGGAGGAAGATGTATGTCAAAGGCTGCTTTGGAGGAGCAGCCAGCTAGCACTCCTCAGGAACAGCAGCAAAGCTTTGTTCCCTTCCCTGTGAGCCACAGCAAGTTTTTGATAAGACAGAGAGTATCCAGAATTATTCCCCCAGAAAGGGACTTGAAGGGGAGAAAGGAGTGCAGTTACAGGCAGCTTGTTGCTCTTCTTTACTTTGCTCCTTTCTCAAGGAGTGTGTGATTATCAGTCTTTCATTGTACCTGTCCCATGTAAATGTCTCTTTCTTCAGTGACCAGAATCGTGCATGGAAGTGCTGTGTTCTAGGTAATTGTATAATGTGCTTTACAAAAACATTTACACTTTGGATCTCTAATGAATTACATCTTCTGATGCATCCTGACTGTGTTTATTGTTTCCACAGCTGAATTCTGCTCATTAAATCAGTCATCTTCTGGCCTAGTGATGTACTCTGAACCTGTATCAGTTCCATGGGAGAAGATCCAAGCTTGTAACAGAAAAATTCTTCTTATTAGTTTGCAAGGACATAATCTTACACTTTGTAGTAATGAATTTCATCCCATGTCTGGAATTTCTTTTTCAAGGTAATACTTTCACAGGTATATGATGTTCTAATCTTCTTCTGTCTTAAACATGCCTCTCAACTATGTGTCATCAGCAAATGTCATCTGCACAATTTCATACCAAGTGGAAATGCAAAATACAGATAAATACCATACCCGTAAGACTACTTATTGAGCAATGCTGCTGTCTCCATGCAATATGAGAATTTTCCTTTCAGCACAACAGAGGAGCTATGACAGTTCCACTCTCATCCCCTTTCTTAGTTTCTATATCAGCCCCCAACTGGTACTAACAATTTCCACGAGGCAACATACAAAATACGTCAGTAACTCTGAACAGGTTAAATCACTGTGTTTCCTGTGCCTAGAAACCCAGCTAAACACAAACACTAATTTTGATGCTCTCTAATCATCCACCACAACCAGGGGCTGAGAGATTGCCTTCCCGATCCTTCTGACTGCTTCTTTTGTCCAGATCACAAAAACACATGGAGGTCTATGAAAACCAAACAGCTCCCAAGAAACCCTTGGTGGTATTCAGACTCCTCCACTACAAAGCTGTCTTGCAAGGTCCTGTGATCTACTATGAGTTGTGCAGCCAGGGTAGCCATACTAAGTGATTTTGTTCTCTTACCTGCTGCTCCAGCCATATGCTCATCCACACTGAGCAGGAGCTCCCACGCTGCTGGCTGGATGTCCCCGTACATCTCTTCTGTGAGGATAGGAGCTGCCTTGATTAGCAGTGACAAGGGTGCAGGGGAGAGGCTCATTACCTGCAAAAAAAACAAGTCATGCCTTACAGCTGAGCTGTGCAAACTGTCCACAGTGAACAACACACTCAGTAATTTTACCTAGTTTTGGTCTGCAGATTACCCACCGATAACCTCCCGTTTCAGCCATCTCAGATAATGCTCCACAGAAGAACTTTGCTTTCAGCCTACACTGAGCAGTGTTTGCAAGCTAGTTCCTTGATTCTTTTGCTAGTCACTCATGTCACCAAAACACTGATAAAGAGGATAAAAGGAAAGCCAAACTCTCCCAAGGTGGTGCACAAACAGTGATACAGATCCATGAAATTCCCACCAGAACAGGCCTCTGAAGAGCCTGTTGCTTCTTCAGGAACACTGAACAAGAACGAGCAAAGAAAACTATTGCTGTAAACTGACAGGTTGTATTCAAACACATTTGTGGATTTAAAATTTTTTTTATATTTACTTTTCCTTTTTTTTTGTATCTCCAATTCTGATGCATGTGTCACTATGGGAAGCCAGAGACGCAGACTGCGATTTAATGGAGCTATGTGTTTAAAGGATTCTTTGATGAGGTTGCCTTAAGAGGCTTAAATTTAGCATTACTCAGCTGGGGAAATCATGCAGGGCTGAACTGATTGATATTCAGGAACAGTTCTTCACACAGGCCTGGAGATCCATATACACTTTCCTTCTTGTTGCAGTCTAACCTGATATCTATGTATCAGCCTCTCTAACTAGCGTCTGGCCTAGTCAGTACCTGGTGTCTGATGTATTTTAGCATTCCAGAGTCCTTCTTCCCTTCCAAGTTGATATCGATCACCCTCTTTTTTAGAGAAGGAGTTCTCAAGCATGACTTGTCTGAGCACTGGAAGGAAAAAAAAAAGAAATTGGAGTTCACATTTTGTTTTCCCAAAATGTGGAAAGGGAGGAGATCACGTACAAGAGGAATTTCCTTACACTGGAAGCCGTCTAGTACCAGAGCTGTAGCGCAAAACCTTCTCCTGTGCTGGCAACAGGCCTTGTATCAGTGAGACGACATATCTCATCCGATTTTCTTCTCTTTCTAACAATGCTTTTCCCAACAAAAGCTTAAGGCAGAAGCCAGTAAACCAAATGAGGAATGTGAATGATGCTCTGTGTAATCTTCACAGGTGGCACACCCATGTACTTCAGAAGAACAGTACTTTGAGCAGATTAGAGGTAAAAAGTTTACAGCTTCCCTCTAAAAAATTACCAATTGAGGTGTTTAGTGTGCACTACAATAATTCCTCTCATAGAATCATGGGATCATTTAGGTTGGAAAAGACCTTTAAGATCATTGAGTCCAACTGTTAACTAAGACTGCCAAGCCCACCACTAAACCATGTCCCTAAGTGCCTCATCTACATGTCTTTTACATACCTCCAGGGATGGTGACTCCACCACTTCCCTAGGCAGCCTGTTCCAAGGCTTGACAACCTTTTTGGTGAAGAAATCTTTCCTAATGTCTAATCTAAATCTCCCCTGGCACAACTTGAGGCTGTTTCCTCTCGTCCTGTCACTCATTACTTGGGAAAAGAGTCTGACCCCCACCTTTCAGGTAGTTGTAGAGGTTGATCAGGTCTCCCTTCAGCCTCCTCTTCTCCAGACTAAACACCCCCAGCTCCCTCAGCCACTCCCCATCAGACTTGTGCTCCAGAGCCTTCACCACCTTCGTTGCCCTTCTCTGGACTCGCTCCAGCACCTCACCTTGTCGTGAGGGGCCCAAAATTGAACACAGTATTCAAGGTGCCGGCCTCACCAGTGCCGAGTACAGGGGGACTATCATTTTCTTGGTCCTGCTGGCTACACTATTTCTGATACAAGCCAGGATGCCATCAGTCATCTTGGCCACCTGAGCACACCGCTGGCTC